AAATATTAATTAAATAACTTTTTACAACTTATTTTTAGCTTGGAAAAAGCTCCTAATTCTTTCCTCTATAATTTTTTCACTTGAGCAGAAAAGTTATTGCTTGCGATACCAAGTACGAGAAAAACTGCAAGTTGGTCGTACGTTAAGTGACTCATAATTAGGGGTAATGAGGTGATAATTAAAGATAGAATAATTGCTCTGTCAACCTAACTTTGTTCAAAGGGAGATTTTATTATTATTATCTTATTATTTTAATTATTATTTTTGTTATCATGAACTTACATTTTTTGAAAAGCTAACTTGCTTAATAAATTGCATTTCAAATTTTAATACAGTGTCATATTCATGTACCGGATTTAGTTTTGAGCCTTAATCCCCTCCAACGCACTTGTCATGCGCAGTATTCCCTCCCTTTGCTTAGTGACCAATCAGGTAGCTCCAAGTATACTGAAGGTTAGAACCGGACAATGACTCATCGAAAGCATGTGACTACGTGACTAACCTCAATTATAAAGTATCTGCCAAACTAAACGGACGCGTGTCACTGAACCATTTTGAATATTTTCACTTACTTAAATTTTTTTGATAAAATGGACAGACAAAAATCAATTATTGAACACGTGACTGACTTTACTATTCGCTTAGAGCCGGAGGATGACGACGACTGCCTTCTTTTAACGCCTTCAATAGACGACCTCTTATTTCTTTTCGGAGCCAAATATTTTACCAAAAAGTGCGACGTGGACATCTTCATCTATGACAAGGAAGATTATATTGTCTTAGACGACGAATTTAAGCAGACAACGGACGAAAACAACAACGACACAGACGAAACATTTTTAACCCCACCGCCAACTGACGAAAGTCTAGTAAATAGAGAGGATGATTCTCTGTTTATAAAACCGACGGACATACGATGTGGATTTGAATCATGCCGTAGACGACTATTTACGACTGAAGACATTCGACGGCACAGATTTTGGCATTTTAAAAAACTTTCTCAATGCAAAAACTGTAAAAGAAAACCCTTATCACTTAAAAAATTATGCCCTCATTTTTAAATTATAATGATTACTTTCAGCTGCTCTGGAGGAACTAAAATCCAGAGTAAAACTAATCGGTCCTTTTCAGGGCCAAACATTTTTTTAATATACATAAGAAAACTTATTCAATGTTTATCTTTCATTCAACGTTACAAATTTTTATAATGAAATCATTCATTTCAGATGCGAAAAAATTTTCTTGCCCTCTGGGCGGAAAGTGGCAACTTTCGTCCCGCTGTGCTGAACAAAGTTGCCGCTTTCCGCCTTCGTCGGACAACAAAATAGTATACAGCCTGTTTAAAAATGTAAATTTTTAAGAATTTCATATTTAATTTGTTTTACTTTATTTTAGAAAAACTTTACTTGTGAATTGAGTTAGTTTATAATACCTTTATATTTAAAGTATTTTTACTAAACATTTTTTTTACCGTATAATTTTTGAATTATTGTAAAACATATTTGTACTAATTGTAAAACTTGAACGGTAATGAGATGCGGACCTATTCAGTTTAAATTAATGACTTAATCCGCTCAGGCCCTTTTTTAATCCCTCTCTGAGAAATTTTAATTTTGAAACATACTTATTTGATTGCTTTATTACCTTGTTTTTTCCCAGTTAAAGTAATATTTTCGAAGATGCTCACTTGAACCGACCTTCTCTTTCTAATCACTACTCTTCTAATTCTAATCACTACCTTCTCTTTCTAATCACTACTCTTCTCTTTCTAATTTAAGTTTGAATATTTTTTTCCTTCTTGAGACCAGAATTCACACCCACCCTTCGACAATTACCAGTAGTTACTGTACTTTCGTCAATACTCCGCCCCTATCTTCGACTCTTTTCCAGTATGAAATCTTAACACAACATCGAAACTTAAAAATACACAGTCTTCATCAAGCAGTTTGCGTAGTAACCTCGAGTATTTACGCATACCGCGGCTCTTTAACCGAACATACCGCTCAAATTTTCAATACCGTTCAAGTTAAATCTTTATAATTAAAATTTCACATGCGTGCTCTAAGGCTTTTCTTAGTTCCTTCCCAAGGGGTGTAATATACTATTCTTTTTTTTTCTATAGTAATTAAAATTGAACTATTATTATTAATCGGGTGAACTTTCGTTATGATAAAGGATTGATTAAAATTTTCAGAAACATTTATCCCGCCCCAGCATCCAGTAATTATTTTACGACACACAAATGAGTAAAAGTAATTGCTGTAGTATACAATAAAGATATGATATTCCATTTTATTTTCGCCGTAACTTATACAATATTTTTTTGTTAGTAATACTAACTTTAATCTCTGACATTATCTTAATGAAATCACTATTTATGCTTGTCATTTAAAGTAATTAAATTTTAAATAAAAATTAATGCGAACTCACGGTAGGGTTGGACTTTTTAGGCAACCCGAAGAGGGAAAAGGACAATTATTTTACTGATGAGTTAGTATTTAAAAAGTTTTCGCTAAACAGTTGATATTTTTATATAAATCCGCGTTTCTTTCCATAAGTTATTTTCTATAGACATTTGATTTAATTTAATGTTATTTATGTAATTTTTTTAATATTTTAAAGTGCCCTTCCGATTGCCTACTCTTACGTACCCCATTTTTCATACATAAATTTAAATATCGTTAGCTTCAACAATTGATCATTTTGCGTATATCTCTAAGTGATCACTTTGTTTTCGAACTGCATTATTTACTTTACTAAGTAAGCAACCGAGACACTAGTGGCATCTCGAAGTAGATACAAGAATAATTCATCCAACTCACGTTGTATGCTCCTTGCTCTCAAGGTACTATCTTCGAGTTTATATATATAGTTTTTTATCATTTTTCAGCTAAGAATATTTTGACTTACCATCGATCAAAATTTATCAATAGATCTCTTATTTATTCAAAAAATGATTTAAATTAATAAAAATTTTTGATATCAAGTTAAAGGTTTTGTAGAAATTTTGAGTTATTATTTTTGTTTAGGTTGAGATTAAAAAATTTTTTCAATAAGGACAAAGCAAAGTAGCCGAAAATTTGGAGTAAAGTTTTCTTTTATAACTTTTAAAATATAAACGAAAATTATTGAACAAAATTTTAAATTTTCGAAATATTTTTTTGAATGTGGAAATAGTATATTACACTACAAGGGCAGAAAGTTTGAGATTCCTGCACTGCGCGCCATATGCCCGAGGCGAAGCCGAGGGCATCATGGCACGCAGTTCAGGGCTCTCAAATTTCTGCCCATGTAGTGTATACTAGTTTTCTTACTATGCGGTCGAAAGTACGTTAAAAATTGCGTTGAAAAAAATTGATGCCTGCCCCCGACATTTGCGGCACGAGCGAAGCGAGTGCTGCTGGTCGGGGGGGCAGGCATCAAATACACCTGTCAATAAAGATTTTAATATATAATTTATCGTATTATTACTTTCTTTTGAAAAAAGATCGTAATTTAACGTCATAAATGTATCATAAATTAACTCTGACTTTAAGAATAAAATTTTTTTTTTAATTCTAAAATTTATTAAATATCTGCTATTTTAATTTTCATTAAAATAAATATTCATTTTCTGTAATTAACTCAGTTTCAACCTCAAATCATTGACACCTAACAAGACAGATACATTCATAACAATCACAAGTAAGGTTAGGCTTGTAAACATAAGTAATAGAGTGAGCGCGACTACCGACTTTCGGACTTTCTGCCGCCTCGTGTCTCGTTGTCAGTGCATGAATACATTTTTCGGCTCCCCGTCGTAAAGCGCATGCGCGACTCGACCACGGCATAAATGTCAGGCTTTCTGCAGTGAAATCGCAACAGAAACCCCGTACTTTCGACCAGCGTAGTAAGAAAAAATTTTTTTTCCATTTTTGCTGATAAAAAAAAAATTTTCATGTATATTTGCAAACACGGTAAAAAAAGGAAGCTTACGGTCATTAAAATAATCCAAAAATTCAATATAAATTTTTTTTGTTTTTTTAAAACAAAAAAAATTTACGTATTGCTAACTCCAATAAAAAATCGAGTTTATGACTATTTACAGTCAAAAAAATTTTTTTTTTTTCAAAATTTATCGAACTTTTTTTTTCGTTGTTAAAAAATCGAGGGTATAATTACTTAGCACGATTTGGAATTTTCAAAAAAAAATTGAAATGACATCAAAAGCCGTTTTTCAGTGAGAAGAATTAATGAAAAAAAAAAAAAAAAAATGGCGCCGCAAAAAAAATTGACGTCACTGTCAAGTCGAAAAAAAATTTTTTTTAGTAATTAGCAAAATTGTGTATAGCCAAATATTATGAATGTTATTAAAGAATATATCAATTAATATTATACAATTTAACCTTTAAAGGTTTTGAATTCACAAAAACAAATTTCTCATCTATGAAGTTTATTATAACGAAAGAACACTTAAAAATATCTAAAAATAGTAAAATAAATTTTTTGTGACAAACCTACTAACAAATATATCTATTTCTCTCAACAATGTATTTATATATATTTATTTGTATATACAGTAGCATAAACACGTGTGGTTTCTTCTTACATCGTTTTAAAGTAAGTCGAACATTAAAATAACTTAACGGGGTATGAGGAAAGGGGACATCTAATAATAAAGTCTCCAACAAACTCGAGCGACTCTCTGGTATCTTTGTCGTGACTTCAGTATAAACCATCGTACATTGAAAAAGTTATCGAGAATTTAGAAGCTACTCATTCGGTATTTTAATTACAAATCAGCCGTGCGGTTACTGATCAACCTAGCCAAGTGATTAATTAAAACCATCCTAACATAATCAATAAACAACAAAAAAAAGCTAAAGTTCCAATAAAAAATCAAGAATCAAAGTGTGAAAAAAGTTATTCTATATAAAGATCAATCTAAAAAGGATAAAACAGTTGCCGGTGGATGATGGTGGGGTTGTCCAAGCAAAGCACGAACAAAGAATAGCAAGAGAATGGTAGAACACAGTGGATCCGGTTGTGAGGAAGCACAAAGTCCTAAAAGACAAGATGTCATCAATAATAATTCACCGAAACCGAATCATTACAGCAATGAAACAATAAAAAACACAAACCGTTTTTCGCTGTTCAAGTGGTTCAAGCCAAAAGCCAGTGAAAAACAAGAACCACAGAATTTAAGTGCGTGTTCTAGTACCTCAAGTGTTGACACGCTTTACAGTACCACAACAGTAAGGAGTTTTGCATTCCATTCAGGTAAAATCCAAAAAAATGACGAAATAGTGACACTTGATCTTCTGAAGCACAACCAGGACCTAGGACCTTTTGGTTCCGGTGCAGCTAAGATAATTCACAAAAATGACACTCCAGATTCGCTAGATGTCACCAGGACATTGCCAGCTCACGTTTTGTCCCAAAAGCGCGACATAACGACCCGTTACTCCTTGCAGAACTGCTCAACAAATTTTGGCTCCTGCGACAATCTGACCAGGCTGAACTCAGCCGGGACCAATTCTAATGGAAAGTTCGAACAAAGACGTCTGCATGTGAGGGGCAAAAGACGCGCACCTCAGCCACCTAGACCTATAAGTGTTTGTGAAAGTGTCAGCAGTGTTGAAAGACGCAAACGTCAGGCTCCGAAGCCGCCCGGCTGGAATCAGAACCATAGTATGAACAAAGGAATCCATTCAGAAAAGGTTCATTCGAACGATAAGCTTGATATGATGAACCAAGAGCAGAAAACTAGCACAAAGTATCAGCAAAATCCGATCAGCAATGATACGTTGGTGCTCCGTGGTGGTGTTTTGGTGCCGAAGGTTGATAGTCCGTTGAAAAAAGCAAGTAGTCCGGTGAAAATTAGTGCTACTCCGCGACCTTGGTATAAGAGAAGTGTTTTTGAAAACAGCAAGAAGCTTGATAGGGAATGTGGTGAAGAAAGTGATGTTCTAGCGACAAAAGTTAATTTCTTTCGGGAAAAAAGTGACGTAAAAGATGACAAACGGAACGCTAAGAGGAAGTCGGGTTTGTGTATTTTGACGAATATCAGTGAGCTGGACAAAGAAGCTGCGGCTATTGTTCAAGAAGAGCAAGCTAAGACACGTGCTGCGATGAGAGAACAGCACAATTCGTCGGTTAAAATGGACAATATTGATAAATACAATGACAATCAGGAAGAAGTTGTTCAAGACATTGTGACGTCATCTATCGAAAGCTCCCCGAAACGGGGAACACGTGCGTTGATTTCCAAGTTCAATGCTATCGGTAACATAACTAAAGTGACCGTGAATTCGAATTTCTTTAACAAGAACATGTCGCCGAAGTTGGAACGTCAATGGAACCCTGGAACGTCATCGAGTAAAGAGCGGGTGGGAGAAGCTGCTGATTTATCAAGGTACTTTCCGGGAAATTCTAACAAAAGTCCTCGAAGTGCTATCAACGCTTCAAGGTCTTCATTTCTGCAGAGTACCTTGACAGGCAGTACTGTTAATGAAAGTGATAAGAGGGTGACAGAACCTCAGAAGATGATCAATGATGTGACGAATCGGCTGACCGCGTTGCAAAGTATCGTTTCAACGGGTTCGAAGGACAGTGAAGTGAAAATTAATAGCCCAATTGTGTATCGCCGGGAAAAAACGGTTCTGGATGAGCAGATAATTGAGTACAAAAAATCTCCGAGGGTCTACCGGGCTCAGGAAAAGAGTAACAAGGATATTCAGAAAGAGTTTACCGATTTGTTTAAGGAAATCGACCGTCAATTGAATTTTGATTTGAAGAATGAGGAACCGAAAATAAAATCTAATTCATCAGCAGAAAAAGTTAGCAGAGTTTTGGATATTTTAGTTGAAAAGGAGGGAATTAAAAATAAAACAGATGGTGATATAAAGAAGTTTGATAAAAATAGCAAAGCTACGGGTGTTAGTGATGACAAAGTGACTGCTGATTTGAAAGAGATGCTTAAAGAGATGAAGCATTCGTTACCTAAGCGGCCTAAAGCAAACAAGCGGATCCGAGAATCGTTGAAAGAATCTATGAAAAGTTCTGAGGCGGGTAATTTATGCGAGTCTGTTGTTATTTCTAGTCCGCCTGTGATCCATGTGGCTCCGACGACATCATCAATAGCGTCGTCGTTTGCGGTAAAAGATAACAAGTATCGCGAAGCTGATAAAAGCAAGGTATCATCAGCAGTTCAGACTTCTGGGAACTTGAGGAAGGTGCTGAACAATCCTACATCATTTGCGGGGCCATCGACTTCTCAACAATGGAAGGATGATGTCATCTATCGGACCAGTGGCAGGTCTGCTGGAAAAGGACTCGTCAAAAACACTTTTCAGCTGATGCGCCCAAGAGAGTTCGCAGCTATCGAAGCTATCAAGACAATGAAGATCACTAATCACCCTAACGATGATGATAATGATAACAATACGTATGCTAATGTGATGGAACAATCACTTTACGCCAATGCGCTGGTGCTCCCGTCCAGAAATCATCAGATCATATCTAATAATAGAATTGTTATTAATGATAATGAGGATGATTTGAGAAAGAAGAAGCACAAAATTCTAGTACCTGATGCTAAGAGTGATGATAATAAATATCCAGTGGAATTTATAAAAGCCTCTGGTGAGTTCGTTGTACGTTTTTAAAGTGATTCACAGTCTTGGGCTATTTATAGTGTTTATGAATAAGTTTCTTGAGCTTTTTCAACGTTGCTAGTCGTACTTTTTGTTACGGTTTATAGTTGATACTCCATATGTTTGGGCGTAGAATATTTTAAAATTCAAGGATAATTGTATTTGTTTTCACAGGGATGGTAGTGTTTATCTATTTACTATTTTGCATGCCGCCAGCGTGACCGCTGGCAGTCGTTTTAATCTCGACTTAAAATTTTACGAGATTTCTCACAGAAATACTCGTCATTACCGCTTTCAGTCTACAACAATAGACAAACGAATATACAAGCATGTAGATAATTTATCTGTAATTTTTTCTAGCATAATTTACACATAATTTATTGATGAACAACGCTATATTCTAAAGAAACAGCCGTCAATGATTGATTTGCTTTACAAGAAACACGATATAACTATCGACAATCATTATAAATCAGCCCCATTTTTTTAATAAGTTCATAATTATTTTAGCTGTATTAAAAATGGATATTTAAGTCCTTCGCGTTTTACTGCAATAAATAAATCTTAAAATTGGCATTATACCCCAAATAACACAAATTATAAAAGTGGTGGTTATGTCCTTGTTCATACGGCGAGTATTCTTACTCACATCTCTCTCTAATCGATGAAAATAAATAACTACAGTATATCACGTTCGTAGCGCTCGTGTTAGAAATCCCAAATTAAATAAAATATCGATCAGTTTAAAACTACACACCTATTTTTAGTCTTAAATTATCATTTTTTTTTTATTAATTTTTCATGATTTTTAATTTAGAAAAAAAATTTATTTTGAATTATGCAGGACAATTTTTTTTTTTTGGAAAAATTTGAGTTTTTCGATGACACTACGATCTTTTTTTCAAATTTTCAATTTTTCCAAACGTTAGGCTATAAAAGGTGTTACAAGAAAGAAGCTATGTTGAAAATTGTTTATTTTTTTTAAAGATGAAAAAAATTGGAATCCAAAAAACACAATTTTGGAAATTTCAGAGAAATTCCAAAAAGTTTGAATGTTTTCTATAAAAAAATTTAAAATGATACTGATCAAACGATTAACTTTTTTTTCGAAATTCTAATGAAAAATAAATGTAGTTCTGAATAATATTTTTTTTAAGTTTATAAAAACTAGAAAATTGAACGCGCTTTGCGCGCTTCTGTAAAATGTTTTTATTATCGACAATTTAATTAATCAATATTTTTACAAAATTTACTCATTAATATTTAACCGTTGCCATGGTAACCGTTGTTATGATAACCATTGCCAAGAAAAATCACCATAGCAACGAAAAGCGAAAACAATGAAAACGCCACATCAATTTTTTAATAAAAGTTATGATTATTTTCATGGAAAAAATTCGCCATAGCAACGGTTACTATGGCGACGATTACCATAGGAACGGTTACTATGGCAACGGTTACCATAGTAACGGTTACTATGGCGACGGTTACCATAGCAACGATTACCATGAAAACGAAAAGCGACAAAAATGAAAACGTCACATCAACTTTTTACTAGAGGATAGTATTATGAAATGCTTCTCACACTGAGAAAAAGAAATACTTTTGCGAAATTAACAATTTCTTGGCTCGAGAAATTCACTGACGATCAAATATTCTATCATTATATTAATTATTAATTTCTGAAGAGAAGAACATCAATATTTACCTTTGTAAATAGATAATAGATAAACAAAAGCAAAGCTTTATTTAAATTAAGTAAAAATTATTTCAATCAATTTAACAATTTCTTGAGCTAAGAATATATATTCTTGAAAATTTTCAAGAACATAAATTTTTGTATCAAGAAAATTTTCTTAATAAAAGTATTTTTTTTTCTCAGTGCATAACAGTTAAAAAAAAGTTTCATAATTTTACAAAAATTGTATTGTAATAAGTAAGTTGAAATTGAAAAAAATTAATTTTTTTTTGGGATTTATGAAGCTATGAAAATGGAACTTTTTTTTGTAACTTTTATCAGTTATAAATTTGTATTGAATTTTTAGAAAATTCTTCAAAGTCAATTATGAGAAAATTCTTTTCACAAATAAGAAATTTTGAAAATGGCAGAAAATTTCTAATTAATAATTAATAAAATTACGTATATTTTTCAGGAAGTAAAGACAATGAAGAAGATCAAACTCAAAATATGAATACTCTGGCTGTGAATCGCTTACTCAGAAAACTAGAAGGCGCCATAGCTTCAGGAAACCACCAGAAAGCCGCGGGTTTCGCTAAAGATTTGGCTCGACTTAAAATTCAATGTTCAGTAGTTCGACAACGCCCAAAGGTCGATAATTTATTGAATGTTGATATGTATATCGAAGACAGATTAGCGCATCAAGGACCAATACCACTTCAGGTAATGTAATGAAAACCAAACTTTTTACGGTGAGAAGAGAAAAGTTCGATGACATTCAGAATTGATGTGTTTTATATTGGTTTTCAGCTACCGATAACAATGACGGTAAAACAATTGAAAGTTAAAATTTTTAATGAGTTTGAAATACCGGGTAATGTACAGAGATGGATTATTGGAAAAACTTTAGCGGAAAATGATGACGCTACTCTTAAGGATCTTAATGCTATTGAAGGAACGCCTGTTTTTCTCTACCTCGTTGCACCAGGTAATTTTTCATTCATTTTAAGTACCTTTACTATTATTATTTTTTTTTTCTTTTGTAATAAACTTCAACTATTCTAAATAAAAAAAGTGTGTGTCAGCTCCGACGCACGACTGGAGTTTACTCCTTACGAACGATTATAAAATAAATAGATTAGTGAATAAGGGTAAATGAATGTATTTCTTATATTACTTAGGGTATGCATGACACATCTATAGATTGATTTTTATTCATTGAGTAATTTTCTCAATTTTGAAATAAATATCAATTGATATAAATTTATATTTATATCAATTATAAATAAAATATAAAATTTACGATAAAACCTTCGCAAGTTGACAGTTGTTCAATTTTACGGAAATTCAATATTTAAAATAATAATTAAATGAGTTTGTTTTATCACCAATGCGATCACTATTTTTCGACTAGTT